ATAGATAGATAGATAGATAGATAGATAGATAGATAGATAGATAGATATGATGAATAGATGAATAGGTGGGTGGGTGGGTGGAGATAGATAGATAGATAGATAGATAGATAGGTAGATAGATAGATACAGATTTTGCCCTTCCCCAGTTTCCTCCACAGCCAACTGAGTTGCACTCCCACTTCCTCTCAGCCGTTCATCTTCCTCCTCAGATTCAGACTCCGATAGAGGCATGACAGTGGCTCATTTAACAACCAGAGTTGGTATTCAGCCAGTTCGGACTGGTTCTGGCGTACCGCAGTGGGCACGGCTTGGTGGGCGCGGCAGGGGAAGGATAGTGTAAAATCTCCAGTCAAAGGTGGCCTTTGCCGGTTCTCCAAACTACCCAAAATTCCCGCTACCGGTTCTCCAGAACTGGTCAGAACCTGCTGAATACCAGCCTCTGGCATACTGGTAGTGGAAATTTGGACTGGTTGAACTGGCAAATACCACTTCCGGCCCTTCCAGAAGTCCCCACGCACTCCGTTTTGGCTCCCAGGTAAGTGCAGGGAGAGCTACTAGGCCCAAAATGGGGCGTGTGTGTGTGTGTGTGTGTGTGTGTGTGTGTGTGTGTGTGTGAGGCATGGCCCCCCCAGCCTGTTTTGGCTCCCAGGAGGGGTGCAGGAGGCTGAGTGCTGCCTTTCACATCCCTGGCCACGTCCGCTATAGCCACGCCGGTCATTAGGGCCGAGAACCGGTTGTTAAATTATTTGAACCCCACCACTGTTAACAACCACCCTGCTCGTCAACCGAAGTCCTCGTCGTCCTTTGTGCGTTCGTAATTCGAGGACTAGGTGTAAAGAAGCGCTCGGTCTTTAGATATGTGTAATATTTGCGTTTGGATTCCCTGCCGATTGATGAGTTTGAGTAAGATTTGCAACGCCTCAAATCAAGCATTTCATTTTTAGTGTCATCACAGCACAGCTATAATAGGAGACATAACGGAACGACATAATATATAACACGATGCAGTGTAATCTTTGATATGACAGAATAACCGATTGCGTTATATTATAATATATTCCACTGCAATCGGAATGGATGCCTCTCCAGTGAGCAAGCTACCGTTCTTCTGAAGTGGTTTTATTTATGAAAGCCGCTGAAGAAACGGAATAAATACCGTTACAATAAAAAGACAAAGAGATATAGCCAACAAAGAATAAAATGTCAGTAAATAAAAGGTTTGACAATGATCGTAAAGATGGAAATTCAGTTTTCTGTTGTACAGGGAACAACATCCCTTATATGCTGTTGAGAAATAAAAATTGAAATCTCTACAAAATCGTAAACGTGGCATTACTACGTATCACCAATCGTTTCTTTTTATGTTCTCACAAAGTTCAGGAGCAACGCAGTAATCAATCAATCAACCAACCAACCAATCAATCAGAATAGAGCTGGAAGAGACCCTGTAGGTCATCTAGTCTAACCTCCCCACCGCCCAAGCAAGAGACTTTACACCATTTCTGACAGATGGGAGTCCAGTCTCTTCTTGAAGGTCTCAAGTGATGGCGTTCCCACAACTTCCGAGGGCAACTTCTGTTCCATGGGTTGATTGTCCTCCCTGTCAGAAAGTTTCTCCTTATTTCCAGGTTGAATCTCTCCTTGTTCAGTTTCCATCCATTATTCCTTGTCTGGCCTTCGGGTGCCTTGGAAAATAGCTTGACCGCTTCCTCCTCTCTGTGGCAGCCTCTCAGATATTGGAAGACTGCTATCCTGTCTCCCCTGGTCCTTCTCTTCACTAGACTAGCCTTCAGGAAGAGACTGGACTGCCATTTGTCAGAAATGATGTAGGGTCTCCCGCTTATAAGGTCCCTTCCAACTCTGATTATCTGTTATCTATTGCAGTAAAAACACATGGAGAAAATTTATCTATGTGGCACATCATCAGTAAAAGGAAGAAGCCCTATACAGATATATCTATGTAGCCAGGACCAGTTTCTGCAACCGTTCATCACATGTTTTAGTCTCCAGTCCCCTAATCATCCTGGTTGCTCTTCTGTGCACTTTTTCTAGAGTCTCAACCTCTTTTTTATAGTGTGGTGACCAAAACTGTATGCAGTACTCTAGGTGTGGCCTTACTAAGGCTTTATAGAGAGGTATTAGTGCCTCCCTTGATCTCGATTGTATCCTTCTGTTAATGCAACTTAGGATTGCGTTAGCTTTTTTGGTGGCTGCTGCACACGGCTGGCTCCTATTTAGCTGGTTGTCCACTAAGACTCCAAGATCCCTCTCCCAGTTCCTGCTATTGAGCCTGGTTTCACCCAGTCTATATGTGTACTTTTGGTTTTTCTTGCCTAAGTGAAAACAGGCATAGGAAATGTTTACGAGTTGACAACTTCACTTTTCTCTGCACTGAATTTTATTTTGTTCAATAGTGTCCAGTGTTCAAGTCTGCCCCAACCTGTCCCAATTTTAAGCCACGTGCTGGCTGGGGAATTTGGGGAATCGAAGTCCACGTGGCTTAAAGCTGTCCACGGGGATTCAGAGGACAAGAGAAATGGTGTAGGGTCTCCTGCTTAGACGTGGGGTTGGACTAGATGGCCCACAAGGGGTCCTTTCCAACTCTGATGATCTGTAACTGTAACGGCTCAGCCACCCAGGATCTCCTGAGGACAGTGCAAAATTAGGCTGACTATCCCAACCGTTGGTCAAGCCGGTTGGACTCACCTTCTCCAAGTAGTTGAATTCCATGGCGATCTCCCGGAAGAAGAAGTAGACGTGGTTTTTCCACTCGACAGCGTGAACAAAGTAGGGTTCTAGACAGGGCGAGGGAAGAAATAGAGAAGAAGTCAAGAAGCGGGATCATCCGGAGAAGATCCGTCAGAAGTGCTGGATTCGGTGGTGCAGTGGTTAGACTGCAGTGCTGCAAACTTGTCATGCACCTGTTGGAATCTGATTCCGAGGGGGAGGACGAGCAGCTCCCAGGGAGTGGGGGTGTGGCTCCATTGGCTGTGGAAGAATCTGGGGAAGGGCAAAGTCTGGCTGGGGAGAGCAGGGGAGAGGTAGAGCAAGGTTCAGAGGAAGACCTAGGCCCACCCCATCTTCATCCTAGGGAATGCAGGGAGGAACAGAGAAGGGAGCAATGTGGGTTGCATGGCTTACGGGGGAGGAAAGGGCCCTGATTCCCTTCATTAGCTGCAGCTGGGAAGCTGGACACAGCAAATTGTGAGTTATTTGTTAATTGTCGAGGCTTATCTGGGTTCCTGGCGTCTTCCCAAATGTGTGTGTTTTATTGGCCTATCAAGTCTGCAATTCCTTCTCTTTCTCCTGCCCTGTCAAGTTAATTACTGCAGCGCGGTTTGTGTGGATTTTTTATTTACAGTTTGTATGTACTTTGTTTTCGGACTGAATTTTCTCCACTTAAAGGCTGTTCGTGGGAGTTTTTCTCCAGCTGAAGGTAACCTGGACATTAGGGGCAAAGTTGGAGGCATTAAAGGGACTCTTCTTGCTTATTTGACAGTGTTGACCTTGTGCCACGGCCCGGGTCATATAAACTACTTCTGCTGACAGCCAGCTGCCTGCAATTTGGTAGATCGAATCCCACCAGGTTCAAGGTTGACTCAGCCTACCATCCTTCAGAGATGGGTAAAATGAGGACCCAGATTGTTGTGGGCAAGAGGCTGACTCTGTAGACCACTTAGAGACACTGTGAAGTGGGATATAAGTCTAAGTGTCCTTCCTTCCTTCCTTCCTTCCTTCCTTCCTTCCTTCCTTCCTTCCTTCCTTCCCAGTTAAATGCTTCCTCTTTCTTCTTTCCTTCCATATATAAGTCTATTTGCTTTCTCCCTCTCTCTCCTTCTTTTCTTTCCTTCCTTCCTTCCTTCCTTCCTTCCTTCCTTCCTTCCTTCCTTCCTTCCTTCCTTCCTTCCCTCCCTCCCTCCCTCCCTCCCTCCCTCCCTCCCAGTTGTTAGAATGCAGTATTGCAGGTTGACTCTGCCCACTGCCAGCAGTTCGATCCTGACCGGCTCAAGGTGGACTCAGCCTTCCATCCTTCCAAGGTCGGTAAAATGAGGACCCAGATTGTTGGGGGGGCAATAGGCTGACTCTAAACTGCTTAGAGAGGTCCGTAAAGCACTGTGAAGCGATATATAAGTCTAAGTGCTATTGCTATTGCTCCACCCAATGAGGAATCACCATGGATACTGCACAAATCAAAAAGAGGGCTGTGAAAATATCGACAGACCCCTCACATCCCGGACATAAATTGTTCCAACTCCTTCCCTCAAAACGACGCTATAGAGCCCTGCACACCAGAACAACTAGACACAAAGGGAGTTTTTTCCCCGAACGCCATCACTCTGCTAAACAATTAATTCCCTCAACACTGTCCAACTTTTTACAAAGTCTGCACTACTATTACTATTAATCTTCTCATCACTCCTTATCACCCATCCCCTCCGACTTGTGACTGTATGATTGTAACTTGGTCACTTGTATCCTTACAACTTATATTGACTGTTTCCTAGTATGATTTGATTGCTTATTGTACCCTATGACTGTTATTAAGTGTTGTATCTTATGATTCTTGATTCTTGACAAATGTATCTTTTCTTTTATGGACACTGAGAGCATTTGCACCAAGACAAATTCCTTGTGTGTCCAATCACACTTGGCCAATAA